GGAGGTATGGGGGATATATGGGGTGTTGGGGGGGCGTGCCGGGGTGTGTGTTGGGGGGAGGTTTGAGGGAGATATGGGGTGTCGGGGGGGCTGCTCTGGTGTGTGTGTGGGGAGGTTTGGGGGAGATATGGGGTGTCAGGGGGCTGCTCTGGTGTGTGTGGGGAGGTTTGGGGGAGATGTGGGGCTGCCAGGGTGTGAGTGTTGGGGTGAGGTGTGGGGGTGTCTGGCTTGTGGTGCCCACTGTTGTAAGCTCCCTGGGTGGGGGAACCTCGTTTTCCATGTGCCCTGCCAAGGCCGGCTGTGGGGGTGACGGGGTTGGGGGCTGCTGGCTCTGGGGGGTTTGCTGGGGTCCCTGGGAGGAGGGTGCCGTGCTATGGGTGGGCCGGGGGTCTAGGTGGAAGGGACGTTGTGGCTGTGTCTACCTGCGGGGGGATGTCACCCCCCAGGGGAACATCTTTGCTGACATCTGCCTCGCAGGGGGCCCCACCGCGGGGGGATTCGTTGCAGGATCGAATCCCTGTTCCAGGCCCCTGCTCCTTGGCTCTCACCCCCAAGATGCTGCTGTGAGGCCGGAGCCATCGGTGCTACTGGCCACTCCCCTGTCCAGCTCCAGGCAGCCCTCGCCCCCGGGCCGCTCTAACTGGCGGGGCCCAGCGCCCGTCGGGCGACTGGCACCGATGCCGAGATGTGACGGTGCCGCTCTGGGCACAGGCCTGTCCGCAGCGCCTGGTGCTGGGGAGCGGTGATGGGCCGTGTGTGCGCGAGACGGGTCAGCCGGTGAAACTGGCGCAACTCCAGGGGCCTTTAGGAGAGGGTGGGGCGAGGCAGTGGAGCAGGAAGGGCCCTGCTCTGGTGCCTTTCCTCTGAGCTCCTCCAGTCCCGGAGCCAGGCCTCACAACCTCCTGGGAACGAGGCTGCAGTGGGGGGTAGGCAGCTGTTATTAGACGCACTGTACGCGTGGGGAAACTGAGGCACGGTGATGCGACTTACACAGGAGAGTCTGGCAGTGATGGGAATGGAACCCGGGTGTCCTGGCTCCGTTCCCCCCATGGCTCGATCGCCCTACCTCTGTGGCTAGCATGGAAGGTTCGCTCCCAGGCCTGTGTGGGCAAGGACCCTTCAGGTACCTCGGGGAGGCGATGCCCCTGGTCGGGTGCAGAGGACGGGGTTGGACGGCAAGGGGGAAGGGTAAGTGCTTTCTGCTGGTTGCTCTTGGAGGAGCACTGGGCGCCAGGCTCTGTGTGGTGTCTGGTCCTGGGGCTGGAGAGAGGCCCAGGGAAGGAGGATGCAGACGGTGGGTTTGGTCCCTGGGTCAGGGGGCTGTTCTCAGGCTGGCCCAGGGGAAAGGCTGTTTGATTGGGGTGAAGGTGCGAGTGCTTCCCCCCGGTGGTGGGGTCTCCCCCAGCACCTCGCTTTCCCCCGAGTGATGGTTTCCTGGGGTTCTGTCCAGCTACGTTTCCCGTGGGGAGGCAATAGCTGGAGCCAGCTGCGGGAGGCGACTGGAGCTCCGGCGCCCGTCCGCTCAAGCGCGCTGGGACTGGAGCACCCAGGATATGAGCTGCTGCGTGCGCCGGGGTGGAGAGAGCATCGGCTCCAGAGGCCTTCAAGGTCCAATTGGATCTGCAAGGACGTTCCTTTGTCAGAGTCTCTTCCCGGCAGCCTGTCCGGGGCTGGTGTTCTCGACCACCTGGGAATTTGGGGAGCCCCCCCCGCGTTCCAGGCTCTTCGGTCTGGCCCCGTCGCCCGTCTCGGTGTGGGGTTCTGGAGAGGCAGAGCTGGGGGGCCAGTCTCATTGCTGGCTTTTATCCCCTTGCAGGTGAGCGGGCAGAGGTGACCAGGGAAGGCTGGAAGGTGCAGCTGGGTCTGGGCTCGGACCCCTGGAACGAGGTAAGGAGAGAGAGAACTCCCCCCTCCTTCACACGTGCAGGTGTACACACCCTCCTTTGCATGTGCACACCTGTGCACTCCCTCCTTCGCATGTGTGTGTACACACCCTCCTTCGCACGTGCCGGTGTACACACCCTCCTTTGCATGTGCACACCTGTGCACTCCCTCCTTTGCACGTGTGTGTGTACACACCCTCCTTTGCACGTGCCGGTGTACACACCCTCCTTCGCCCGCCTGTGTCCTGGAGTGACTCCCCCAGGCTCCTGCCTTCCCGCAGCCCAGACTCCCTTCTGGCGTGGGCCAGACGCTCATCAGGGGAATCTGCTGGGGGCTGGGGTTGGTCCCAGAGGCGAGCCTGGTGCAGGGGCTTGGGGGAGGCTGCCCCAAACTGGGTGCTGGGAGAAGGAGCGGGCAGTGAGGGGGCTGCCCCACAGCTCCCCCAAAGAGGCCGCACCGCTGGGGGGTGCCTGGCCCCACACTCACTGGCCTCCCGCTTTGTGCTGCAGGGCTCGATGTCGGAAGCTGTGGCCGAGGGCCGGGGAGACATGAAGCCAGAAGAGGGCGGCAGCGAGCCGGGAACGAGCCAGGAGCTGCTGCAGAGACTGCGGGAGCTGGAGGTGTGGAGCCCCCCAGGGCCGGCGCAACCCATTAGGCGACCAGGGCGCTACGATTTGGGGGGCGGTGACCGCGGCGGCATTTCGGGGCGGGACCTTCCGCCGCCCAGGGCAGCAGAAAAGCTGGCGGCGCTCCTAGGGCCCCCACTTGGCTGTGTCCAGAGGGAGGGTCGCTGCCCCCCAGGTGCCCTGCAAGGCATCCGGGGAGGCCCAGCCCAGCAGCGCTCTTTCCCCAGCATTGGGCGCTCTGTGCACGTGGGACTCACACGGGGAGGGGCGGCCCGGCTGTGAAGGCTGGGTCAGTGCTGGTGAGCTCTGAGCCGAGTGGCTCCCTCCTGCCAAGGACAGCGCCCCCCTTCCCCTCGCAGCCGCGGTACAAGGCAGCTTCCCAGAGCCCCACAGCGGGGTGGCCTGGGCCAGAGAGGGGCCAGGGACTTGCCCAAAGTCATACAGTGAATCTGTGGCAGAGGAAATGACCCAGGAGTCCTGGCTCCCAGCGCCCCCCCCCCCGCTCTAACCACTAGCCCCCACTCCCCTCCCAGAGCTGGGGAGAGAACCCAGGAGTCCTGGCTCCCAGCCCCCCCTGCTCTAACCACCAGCCCCCCACTCCCCTCCCAGAGCTGGGGAGAGAACCCAGGAGTCCTGGCTCCCAGCCCCCCCTGCTCTAACCACCAGCCCCCCACTCCCCTCCCAGAGCTGGGGAGAG